TATTCATCTAAATTATCATCATTTTATTGTTTACTAAAAAATCAAATATTTATTTATGTATTTTTTCAATTCATTAAACTTATTTCCAACCTTTATCTATAGTTACAATAAAAGCGTTACAATAAAAGCACTACAATAACTTTTAAATAGGTTTTAATTTTTAATTATAAAAAGCTTTTAACATTAATTCTCAAACAATTTAAGCATATTTTGTGGCAAACAAGTAATTATTTAACCATAAATTGAAAATAATATTTTAATAGATTATAATCTTAAGGTTAATTATGACTATAATAGATTTGTGGCCTAGACTATTTCAAATGAAAATAAAAAACATAATAATCTAAAACCTTGATTTTGTGAGCTCGATGTAATTTAATTGAAAAATTTAATTTCAACAAAAAAATAAAAACTTTAGATCAAACATTACTGTAACTCAAAATATCAGTACAAATAAAAGTACAATGTAAATTACATGTACTTCCAATTGGTGAGTTTATCACAATCAATAAAGTTTTATAAAACTTTATACATTAGTGAAACCAAACCGAGTAAACGAACACTTGTGAGATGACCTAGCAACAATAATTCCATATATTTGTCATTATTTTCATTGTATTTGATTTATACAAACCTATTAACCAATAGAAATTTGTCCACAAAATATCATCATTTAGATCGAGTTGGTTTAACATAAGATTTATTTGGGTTTCATTGCATCTGCCAAAGCCATAGGTTGTGACCAAAACTGAATAAAAATTAAATCTAAGAAAAGAGCCGTAACTGAGGGCACGAATGAACACATCCTGAGAGGACAGGCGGACAGCGAAACCGCCCAACAAGAAGATGGACATAAAGAGGGCGACGCCCATAGTTGTGGCCAATTGATAGTTATCGGCAAACAGTATACCAATCAAATTGCCCACAGAGTTGGCGATAAACGCCACAAATATCTGACCAAAAAATATGATTACATATCATATGTAAATAAGTTTAGCAAAAATTATGTTTAAATAATTATTGTTGATTAAATTATTAATTTTACCACGTTTAACGCGAAGTACGAGTACCGGAAACTGTCGGACAACTGGCCGGTGGAGTAAAACATGATGGTTGCGAACGTAAACGCTATGACAATAGTGACGGGTATTTCGACAAAGCATTTGCTCCAATAGTAAGAACTCGTTGAATACCATCGGTTGCGGTGTTCGTTGAGAAATACCCGCACTTCGGTCGGGAAGACCAGTAGAGTGCAGGCCATCGACACAAAGCCCAGACAGCCGTTCATGAAAAACAGTAATTTGACGTTTTCAACCACATCCGACTCTTCGCTCACAATTTTAAGCGCTTCCTTCAGTGATGTGGTAATAGATAGCGAACTGTTGGTCAGGTGTAGGTCCAGACACCCGTCCTCTTTGCCCACATCCCAGCCGTACAAATAACTCAACATAAAGGCTATGAAGAGGCAAAATAGACTCAAACCCATACTCGCCATCCAATTGTATCTCAACTTAAAGATGGTTAAATTTAATTGCTTTTAATGAAATAGTTTGATATATTTAGCAATTACTTACAAAACATATTATGCCTCTTAATGTCAAATAATATAAGTGATAGAAATTGAATTGCAATTTATGACCGGATATTGTTTTAGAAATTAATTTGCTGTTTAGTTGACATTCGTCTCGGATTTCAATCAACGAGCACTTTGTTGTGTCGATTAGTTTTTTGATGGCATCACTTGTGTCCTCAAATTTTTCAGCAAACTATTGATTAGATTTTAATATTTCAAAAACTAAATATTTTTATAGATTAAGTTTTAATAATTATGCGATTAATTTATCACATTTTAAACAGACCTCTAATTGCAATGAATTCTTACGAATAGCAGATTTAAATCCATTGTTAGGAAAGTTTGACGATATCTTCAACAAGAGCTCAATTGGGAGGATATCTTCAGCACAAGTAATGCCACAATTGTTGAGATGGTCTTTGAGATGATTGGGTCGTCCGGCGAACACACAGTGACCGCCCTTTGAGAGCACATATAACTGATCAAACATTGAGAGGAGCAGAGAGTTTGGCTGAT